TATGCGGGCTACAATCCTGCCTCATTAACAAAGGTTTTGGTTATTTTTTAGGAGCTCTGAAAACTGGTTTTCCAGAAATCCGGTCTCTGAAGACCCATCGGCCAAAATGATTGTTATATTCGGAATCAGCACCCTTGATTACCTCTGATCCACTAGGTTTTAACCCGAAAGCGATTTCCAACCTGGAGAGGTTCCCTCGTAAGTATTTTTGACCGGTTGCGCACGCATGTGTCGCACACGGTCGCGCACATGTTCATTAGATCCATCTTGACCGATAACCTATAGCAAAGTATCAGCAGATTATTTAACGTTCATACAGTTTTTAAGTAAAACGCATTTAACAGAATCAAAATATTCAACAGTTAACAGCGTTTTTCTCAAGACTGTTTTTTAGCTTCAGGGCTTTCGCCGTGCACAGGAATTCTCGATAACGGTACATAGGAGAAAGCTTGTTTTATTTTTTATTTGTTGATAACACCTATAACTAGGAGTTAAATAGTCCGATTTTTAAATTATGCTTCTATTTTTTATAGAAATGCGGATTTCTAAGAAACTTTGTAAGGATGTTTCGGACTTTAAGGTTCTGCTAAGTACCAGAAATCAGTAAATGAGGAATTCAAAAATCGATCTGTGTGAACTCCTAGCCATAGGTGTTTACTGCAAAACAAGACCAGCCCGAGCTCTCTATCATTTACATGGAATGAGAATTCCTGTGCGTGACAGATGCCTATTTTTGGCCCTTGTTGTGGCGCCCTCTCACGAACAGTTACCAGTGGGACCAAACAGAAAATTTTGTTATCACACTTTGACATGGTCAACATTCCCTGAAAGTTTGGCTGAGATCAGACCTACCTGTTCAAATGAAATCAGTTGAACGCCCTACATAAATAAACAGTGAATTTTTTCGAATCTATGCGACCGTCCAACGATGTTTTGTATGATGCATGATGAATTGTGGAAAAGTCGGTCAGACAGTTGCATTCTTTGTTCACAATATTTTACTTTTAGTGTACGGCAAAAGGTACTACAAATTTGATCGACTGACATGTCTCGGCTCCTGGAAAAATGAGCTTAATTGCGTACGATAACCAGAATTCAACAGAAAAATTTGCCAGATGCTATTTTTGAGTGACACCGTCTTATAATTTAATCGGATCTGTAGCTGCATCCCAAAATACTTTTTTACCTTATTGGTCTCTGCTGGCGTCCCTCGCTACAACTCATCGGTCAGTTTCCACTGTGCGGGCAATCAGTACGTCATCATTGAGCTGATTTTCGTAGATTGAATGGTTTACGACATTATCCCGTTTATGGAAGTAAAATATAGATAAAAATTCTTTCCTTTTTGTCCTCTTCCCTTACTTTTTGTTTTATTGTTTAGAAATCCTCAGTGGAACGCAAATGGAACTTGTAACAATATCAAATATCGTTAATTCTGAAGTTCGCAGTGTTCAGCTAAAATTTGGATCCGTAAAAAATCAAGAAAACACAGTATTAATGCAATTGTTAATGAAAACTTTTTATCGCTGACAATGTCAAATTTTTCATTATGAAAACTGAATAACATTGATTATTCCAAAACAAAATTAAACATGAAGTCCAGTTGATACGGAGCGAACGGTTTTCTTATGGCAATAATAAAATATTTATTTATTATTGCCATTGCAATTAAATATTTTATTATTTATTATATAATAATAAAATAGAACGGATTAGGTGGAAAACAAGGTTACGATCTTCGCATTAAGCGAGAGGCTACAATAAGGGTGGAGCATTTCTCTTTTTATTGTAGAAATAGCTATTCAACTGTCAATCGTTGATACAAATACACCATCAAAAATAAATTATTGTTAAGGGTCCGTTATAATATCCTGATACTCTGAGAGATAAATATAAGGGCTCGTCGAATGATAATAGGCATGTCTCGATCTGTCAGTTTAATCATGTCTAAAGACATAAACGGACGAAGTCAGGTCTACGAAGAGTGATTTTCTTTTTCAGTTCCTCATTTTGATATTTCATGTCTGTTGTTGATGGCGGCTTCATGAGCTTCACTACTGGGGACGAAGGGAACTTCTTACTCTTCTACTTCTTCTGATTGTGTTCTGGCAACGGCTTCAGAAGAGAAAGTTCTGGTTCGACTTCTTTCTATTGAATGAAGTTTAGACCGGGCGCCAGCTGAAGGCGAGCAACAATTTGCAATTGTGTGGCAGGCAAGAGCTACATTTCATCGTCGACTTGAAGGTAAAAACGACAACGAATATCTTTGCCATTCTTATGAAAGATCATATAGAATTGTTAATCGACGATCGATCTGATATTTTGTCCATATTAGGACCCAGCGAGACTAGAAGAATTCTTAAAGGATTCGTCCCCATAAGTCTTTCTTCCGAAGTTATGACTATTTTACCGGATTTGCGACTCCTGAGAAGATATAATGACCGTGAGACCTATTAATGGACAAAATTCAGGTCAAATTCCATGATTCGATTTTTCTATAAATCCCTTCTCAGGGGACGATTTGGGTTATTTCATCTAATACAGGATTTCACTAGGTTTTTTCCCGAGAAACTAACATTGCCATGAGGTTGAGCATGGTCAGAAACTAATAATTCCGTTTGGGTGAGATTTCCAGGCTGAAAAAAGAGCATTCATAGAGCTCCCAGGGAAAACGTACTTGCCATATCATGGTATATGGAGGTCTTGACCATGGCAGATGAAAATCGTGATGAATGATAAACGATCCGGTAGTCCTTTGTTTGTTGGGTAAGGATTTAATCGCGGTTTTAGTAAAATCTCATGGGTCCTAGAGGATTTATGTCGTTTATGATATTCTTTTATTTTTCTCAATATTATTATGAATGGATATGGGGTGCTTTACTTTTAATAAGCACCGAATCTCAGCTTATGGTATTTATTTTGATTGATTTGCAAAGTATTAAGATCAGCTTTGTTAGTAAAAGTTAAAATCAAATTATATATAATAGCAATTGAAATATGAACGTAAAAACAAAGAAAAAAGGAGAATGCTAAAAAACACAAGGTTAACTAAAAGACATTCTAGATGAACAATACTATCACCCTCTTGAAGTTCAAGTAACACAAAAATATTTTGAAACTGGCAGCTGCTTTAATAATTATAGTAAAACTATTGGGCTTTATCTTCTGGCATAGTGGTATTTGAAGAGGATAAAATTATTGTGAATATGACAAAACTGTTCATTGTTTTTCATCTTATCGAACAGAAAAATTGCGTTTTTGAGTGAATTTGTTTTAGTAGGTATTATCATAAAATACTCATCAGAAGTCGAAATTCAGGACGATTTTATGTTGGGATCCAGGTTTTCCCATTAAATAGATCTGATTCTGATTTTCAGACGGCATAAGAAAAAAAGATTTTTTCTTTCTTTTGCGTTTTTCAATAGTCATTTTAAAACGAAAGAGAAGAGAACCAGGCTGAATTTGAGCAGAAAACCTGATTCTTATCAGAACGGCCTGAGCAGGCCAGTCTGACCTGAACTATCGACCATATTTTAAGTCAGAATGAGTTAAGCAAGTTGGTCCTACGAGAATCTTGCCATGTATTGTATAACACCAGAATCAGATCAGATCGATGGAAAAACCTAATTTGATGTGACATGTGTTTTATGGAAGAACGCTTTCTTTCTTTGTATTTCGAGAACAGTTCAGGTTCGCATCTCAACCAGATTTTAACAAAGCTTTACTACTTAATTTCCAAGAGACGCGAGATTGGTCCATGAACGTTAAATATTCATCATATTTGAACAGTGCTAGAAGTATATTAAGGTATTACACTGCAAACTGCTAACCGTCACAGATCGCTCTGATCTTGATTCAAAATAAGATACTAATCTGCGCTGAAATTTGCATGGCTCGCTAGCGCCAGCGGGGTGTGCTACTTTTTTTGACATCTTGAAATACTAAGTCAGAGCTAAATGATTGTGACACGATACTGTGGTACTCATATCTATAATTCAAACTTATTGCTGCCCCATATACATGTATCACTTTTCTAGCAACCGAAACTTCAGTGTTGTCCGTCTGTTTGAATATATATGTATCTTCTCTATCCGACATGCGTGCCAAGAAAGTAATATCGGGACATGGCACGGGTGTCGATAGAACATTGAAATATTTTTTGCCGAGTGATCAACTTTTATAATATCACAATAATTATTTCAGCAATAATACTCACAAGTTTAATAATGAGATGGGGGTGAATGACATTAACAGCTCATCAATCATTTTTTTAGTGATAGCTCAATCATCTACAACATCGTAAACAAGGTCCTGACGAGTCAACGAACAAATTAACAGGCCATGTACGAAAAGCTTATAAGCAATAATTTCTCAGTAAAAAGTCAAAATACATTTGAAACAAAATTACCTGATTATCGACTAAGTTCAAGGGTAAGAAAGTAGTAGAGAAAAAAATTTGTCTTGCCATCTCACTAATTTAGATCTGATGAGAGGAAGGTATGATGATGCTAATTTTGGATGTTGTAGATGTTATGGTGGTAAACGGCAATTTAGACTTTTTAGACTTTCTTCTAGAAAAAGTCAGACTAGCTGGAGAGGGCGGCAGTGTCAGAGTGAGTCACTATACAAGAAGTTCAAGTTGAGGAACGGCAATGAATGTTAAATGATAGGTAGCACATCCTAAAAGTCTAAAAGTTCAAAACCATCGATCACCACCATAGCATCTACAACATCCAAAAGTAGCACCATCACAGCTTGATGTCTGATGATCATTAACATAAAATGTGCCTGTAACATTGCTGGTTACATTTTCATCCTAACATATTTTAAGGTATATGTTCATCTAGGCTAAATCACTTAATAAACATTAACATTATACAGCTGATGTGTAATATATTGCTTATAAAGAGAGAACAATAAATATTTTGTTAACATAAATAAACTGTATGCACACAAAAAAATATACAATGAATAGGCAACAGAACAGAATAAGACACTGTTTAGGAATTTAACAACTGTGGCACTGGATCATCGTGTCTAAATTTTTTCAATCGATATGCTTCAAGTTCTTCTTGGGTTGGTTCAGCAAGAGTACCATTGGTTTGCAACGAATTATATGAACGTTTTCTTTCATCTAATTTTAACAGTTCATTCGCTTGTCGTTCACGTTCATCAATCATTTTAGCTGCTTCTTGTACCTTTTTCTTATCTAATTTTAACACTTTATCATCTTTACTGGCGGCTTTTGACGGTTTTTGTTTGACTAATTTTTCTCGATGTATTTCAACCATCGACTTTAGTCGATCATCATCTATACCTAAAAAACATAAAAATATAAATGTATGCGAATAAACATGCCTATGATTTCTAACCAAAGAGGTAAAAGCGTTTACGCACCTCATTTGGTTCCTAATATCTCCAGAAGTCTACTTTTTACCACATTAATGTATACGATATGAAATAGCCATTCCTTTTTACACCTTTTGGTTTATTCTTATTCACGAGTTTTTTCTTCAATACTTTCTTCCATCTATAAAACACACTAACAAATGTAATTTCAGTCCTGCATGAATCTTAATATATAGTTAGTTCTCTTACTTCTATACGTAATGAAAATGTAAAAAACAGATGATGAATTGTTTTTAAAGCATAGATCTCCGTCTCTTGACTCAGATACACTCATCTCCACAGAGCTTCCTGTAACTCTGCTTGGTTTTTGATGTCTGCGAGAGATGCTTTTCCCTCCTTGTTTCTAACTGGTCATCTACAAATTTAAGCAAATAAACTACCCCCATGCTTTTAGAAGTCAACACTTACATCCTTCATCTTGTTGTTGTAGTATTTCTTCTTGTACAAATCCTGGACAATATGATTGTCTTCTTGGTAATGTATTTAAATATTCTTCACCACCATAACGTTCAATTAATTCCGACTGAATCTTTTTAACAAAATCACTTTTTTTCTGGCTAAATTCTTTATTTAATAATTCTAACTTGGTGGGATCACTTTGAGTATGGACATTAACACCTAAAAACAGACCAAAAAGGTTAACTATCAAGGCAAGGGAATGATTTCGAAAAATAAAATGAAAGATGCAGCGGAGTCAGAGCAAATTTAACAACTCATAAGCGGTGCAAACAAGTTCTCTATTAGGATCGCTGTAGGCCAGACATAGAAAGTAACAGAGAGACAATAATCATACCTTTTTCATATGCTTCCCATGCGAACATCTGTGTTTTAGCAAATTGATTTGCATCACCCGAATAACGTATCAAATTATCACCCAGATACGGTACTGTTGCCGGATCTTTTGTAGTACCGTTAAATGGATTTTCTCTCATTGATCGAGATTTTGGATCATAATAGGCACTATTCGAGTCCAAATTTAATAAATATTTTGCTGTGTCTTCTCGTATACGCAAATTTGGAACACTAATACGTTGCCTGCTATCAACATGTTGACTGGGAATAGCCATTTTAATTCGACGTGCCAATATTGACGGTGGAGTTGTGAAATGATGCTGAGACATAACTAATAAAATCTAGAAATAAAAATACGAAAACAGTTAATATAAATGTATTTACTAAAATCAGGCTTGTAATAATAAAGCATGTTACATAATACCATTGAACGGTCTAGTTAAATACCTAGACTCGCTGGCAAGCAATCGTCTGGCTCACTCACTGTTTATAACAACGCGAAGGATACGATTTCATCACCAAATATACATGCATAGACTATTTATACTCAACCAGCAACACTACATATGCTCTAGCATTATATTTCAAAACAAAAGAAAAATATTCTCGTCGAATCTTCAGGTAAAATACGAATCGTGGTCAGTTTGTAAGAAAAATTGTTTGAGAAAATTATAATTAAATTAGTTCATACGTGTAACCGAAAGTTCATATATATGAACATTTCTTATAAAAGTATCATAGTGCTTTTTCTTATAAATCCTTCCACTTCTGTGGTTTCAAAGTGAATATTTCAATTCTCCTAAGTCGGTTTGTATGCCAAACATTTATTAATTGGGACGAAAAGCTATAAGGCTATTCTTAGAAGTCCTAAAATATGCATGATAAACAAACGCTTCTCTAGAACAACTTTCCTAGTAATCATCTCCTCCATCATGATTTCTTTAGAAAGAGATTAAACCTAGTAAGAGATAATAGCCTTATTTGGGATCTTGTTTGCTTCAAAATAAGTGCTTAAAGTAAGTGGACCTTAATATATTCACAATCAATCACAAACTTTTAAAGTTTGATTGCTAATAGAATCGCTAATGTTGTAACTCATTATTACGCTTCAGCTAAAAAATTGTACAGTCAGTCAGTTAAAAAGACGAGTCCTAAATTATATTGTTTTTATTCATAATTCCCAGGTAAGCAAAGAATTACTGAAGACGGCAGTCGTGACTAGCCCGAAATGTCCGTATATCAAGACTAGTCTGGAACGTATGTTATGGTGTAAGACGGGTGCGAAAGAACGTTAGTTGGTAATGCGGCGACAGACGTTCTGTCGAAGGCAGAATTTACAGACAAGCCCTGAAACCAAGTCATACCCCCGTCGATGTTTCTTAGAGCATTCATGTAACCATAAGACTTGTCAAGTGACGCCGATTTCTATACGCAAGAGTTGCGCAGGAGTTGCGCAAGAACAGAAAGAGTTAGAAAACAGAAGGATGAAATAAAAATTGCGTAAGGATGGTACAAGAGCAGAATCTTATGAGCGACGGCAGGTCATAACAAAGACAATGCTTAATAACAATACTTTGTCGTCTGTCGCTTAACATGTCTTTTTGCTAAATGCCGCCTAAATGTCTACTGTGCCTGGTACCTATGTGATTATGTTATGAAGTTATGAGTGTGTCGTCTACGTCGCCTGAGCGAGACGGACGAATCGCGCTCGTAGCTCCAGCGCGTTATTGCAGCGCACGGGCGCTCGTGTAAAATATGCTCGACCGACGAGCGCGTTCGTTTAAAATGCACTCGAGCGACAAGTTAAAATATGACTTTACTTGATTCTGTTGTATATGTGTTGATCAGACTACTGCCAAGAGGAAATTTTACGTCGCTGATTATGTAACATACATTCTATAAGTCAACATCAACATCTCAAGCTAAGATTTCAAATTTAACGTTTTCTTCTAGCGACGTTTTGCTTTTATTGCACTTATACCTTATCAAAACTATAAATGTGAACGATAGCGTTGGATTTACTGAGTACAGGACGGACCATTTTTGCTCAGTACTGCTTTATTACGTTTGGAATGTTATTATAAATTAAAAAGACCCGAATTCGGAAAAACAATTTTTAAACGAAAATCTTGAAGAGGACCCTTGCCCTAAATGATTGTCGAAAAACATTTATTCAGAAAATAAACAAGTTATGTGTCATTCGATGTAGTTTTATACGCTGATTTAAAAATATACAGGTTGTTGCATTAAAAGTATTTCTAAGCCGAGAAAAGTCCAATTTACTTCAAAAACTAAGGTTTTTTGAAAACCTATAACTATAGAAAAATATGGGTATTTTGGGGCATTCATTATAGATTCTGGACATGACGAGGAACGTTTTGGGCTAAGTTTGAGTTCTCTCAGAAGGTGGATGTATGTGGATAACTCTCTACAATTGTACCATCTCTTGAATACTCTTGGTCATTCGAAAGAACAGGCTATATTTCAAAAACTATACATTCAATCCAAATAGACTTTTCACCATTTTGAAGAAGACGTGGTCCGGATTACGAATCACTACTTTACTTTGCTACAACTCATAATCGTTCAACAGAAGTTAAGTTTTTACGGTCAGTAAGCTAATTCGTATCGCAAAATCGCGTCTGATTTCGCGAGTCTTACACTTTCTTCAAACTCGCTGAAACTTTCAGCGTATATTCAACTATCCTTCATGGCTTCTGAGATATATTTCTTTTTTCGAAAATGTTAAACCCTTGAACAGTGGAAGTGGCATATTAAGGTCACCACTGCCGATTAGGGTCAACTTGAAAATCATTGTTCTCTATCAATAAGCGACATAGATGGTATCTAAGCATATATTTGTGTACTTCAAGTCATGCTTTTTACAACTGCTTAATCAGAAAGTTTCTCAGAGCCTATATTCATTCTATTTTTGGATAATTAACAAAATAATCCCTTTTATCGAAAATGGTAAAGCTTGTTTCCCTACACTATCCACTTTTAAGCAACAGTAATATATGCAATCAATTCCTCTCTGTATAAGCTATCGATTGCTATATAGACCAACTTTTGAATATAAACGGTTGCTTGGTGATAGTGCTTGTATGTATGAAAAATGGTAAACTTTTGACGACTAGAAAATAAAATGGCTATATTCCAAGGCAAATTCAGATAAGCAGATTTGTAGTGCCAAACATACTCTACAGTTGGGTATTAGCCGTTTTGCAGCCGTCTTAATAGTTGTTGAAATTTTCGACAACGAAGCCCAATAGAAATCATATGATAATTGCGGTCTATTTTTACCATATATCTTCTAAGATACATCAGAAAACGTTGAAAAGTGCTACTATGGACTAGTTTTACATGGCGATTTTGAATTTTAAAGAAAAAAATAAAATTAATCATATACCCGGTCACTTTTAACACTTTGAACTTCATCTGTTTCCATTTTCTCCGTGGTATATCGTAGCGAAAGTGCACACGAAAATCTCCAAAAATAACAAAAATTTTTTCAAAAACACTTACAAGGATACAAAAAGATTACTGAATTGCCCCACATTACTTTATCTATAGTCATGCATTCATCTAAAAGTTAAAAACTATTTCAGCTTTGTTTCGGTTGAACAAGTTCTCTGTCACTGTTTTTTTCTTACTGTAAGGTCTACCTATCTCCGTTTGATTGGCGTAAGCTTCTTTTTCTCAGAAAAAAAAGCATCGAGTTGATTTACGTGAAGTTCTATCGATTTCAACAGTAACGATTTTTTATGAGAAATAATTGCTAATTATCTGCATTATCAAAAATCTTCCAATGAAAAAATTGAAAAACTAGATCGTCAATACTGACTGACGAAGTGGTTTCTTTTGAATTGACAATAATGAGTCACAGTGATGAATTATTTGTTCTTCCTTTAATCCCTTCTAATCACCAGTTAGAAGAAAAGAGCAACTGAATGGCTTCTATCTATGAGACATGAACTATACATAGCAGAGTTGGAATCGGTTGAGAATTTTCTAACCAGATCGGACCGGTCGGAGTAGATAGTCTAGATGTATAATAACAAAAGAACATGCCACTATTTGTTTTCATTTCAACAAGAGTGGAAAAACACCTACTCAAAGGAATCAAACCAAAACAGAACAAAAAAATATAATTTTGACAAGAAGAAACTATCTTATTGAGAGTAACATACTATTTAAAGTCTGAGGCAGTTAAACCAGTGAAAACTGGGCCGATTTAAGCTTTTTTTCAACCGATGAAAAACCGGTAAAAATCGATCAGTTGAAAAGTGGCTGACTGGGCCGAACCAGTAACCGATCGATTGACCATTATTAACAACATGTTACTCGTTACTGAACAGCCCTGTAAATCACTCATGTCGGGCGCAAAAATTCCCACTTATCGAACATCATTCGGATCTGACAAATTTTCAAAAGATATTTCCGATATATACCACGATGTTTTCAGAACTCTCAACAGATTTATTTTATTAACTGGAATCACAACAGAATCATTTGAAGAATTATTTATTAAATTTCGTTTGAGCTGCGTTCATACGATGACGACAAAGAGAAGGCGCCATATTAGACTCATATGAAAAAATTTGTTGTATTTGCTTCTAAATTTCCTACGACAGTATCCACCGCCTCAACAACTGAGTGTAGAATTCGGCATTCAACCTAGACGAATTACTTATCTTATCAGAAGATTTATGCCCGAATTGGTTGGAACACTTGGAAAAGAAATAAAATCACCATCACAAAACGAATTATTAGAAAGTATGGTGTGTTATCCAGTATTTGGATATGTCGATGGCATTCGTCAAGTAATCCTGTTTTCTCTGAGAATTTTAACCTTAAAAGCTGCAAACTTTACTGGAACCAACTCTGTTAGAGTAAAATAAATAAAAACGATGACGTATGTTAGTTGCTAAGTGCATTCTGCTTTTTTCTGGAAGTATTATCTGAGAGAATGATACGGATGCAATGAACGATGTCTAAAAAAACTACTGGTTCAAAGCCCATTTCCCAAGACCAGTATAAGAGTAACAGAATTAAGTAGCTCAAAATCCTTATTATTGCCATTCGAAAAGTATGCACTAAAACTGAAAAGCGAACTTCCCTTTATTTTAAGATTTATATGCGACGTTTCATGCTTTAAGGCCGCTGCCATCAACGAAAATATTATTCAGATAAAACAAGGTACCATTGTCTTGCCAGTCTCTGCATATGCAACCCATTAAGAAAAAAAACCGAAATTAGGAAACGAAAAAGAAAAGAACAAATAAAGAAAACCAACAATTCTCAAATTTAGACTTTGAAAAGATGAAAAAGAAGATACAAAAAAAAATCTAACCATCAATATATTACGTATGAGAATAAATATATCGGTCTTTTTTTATTCAACATCATGGATTGTTTGTTTGCTCTACAAAAAACACGAACAAGCAGGTAAAGAAGCGATATAAGTTGAATAATTAAATAGTACAAGGTATTGTAGAATAATGTTTTTTGATACGCATTTTGTCTTGTCTTTCTTTCTCAGTTTTCTGTTTTTATATAAAACAGAATAGAGAAGAATAACAAAAAAATAATTACAAAAAATTTTGTCAAATGAATAAGCTCAACAATTAGAACGGTTATTATTGTGATGTTACAAGTTTTATTACAATAATCTTACCTTTTTCATATGCTTTCCATGCGAACATCTGTCTTTTAGCAAATCGGGTTGCTTTTTAATGAAAGCCACCCAACCCGACTTTGTACGTTATTCGGGTGAGGGGCAATTAAACAGAGTTATTTTTTTTTTGTTAACTCTCATCTCTACAGTCCAATGGCACTGAAATCGGGTCGCCCCGTTGCCTGTGTCCAAAGGTACCGAGACACTGAGCATTAGATAGCTTGTTCAAGACTATCATGCGACCGCCGTTGCCGGGATAATTATAGATAATTACACGAAATAAAAACAAAAAGGTAAAAAAGAAAACCTAACTAGTCTTTATTTCGAAATATCCTACATAGTGAACACCAAAAAGTGCATAGAATAGCGTCAAGTAGATATTAACCTCGGACCAACGAAAAAGACAAAAAGAAATACATTATATCAGCAACGTACAGAACAAACGTTATATGCACATGGATTTTGATAGAAAATTTAAAAATCCAGTTGCTGTTGTTGTTGTTGCGCACGTTCGTCTCTATCGCGTTCTCTTGTCTGATGTGCTGAATGTGGTTTTCGTATTATCGCTATTAGTTGTGCATCCGCTTCTAACAGTGAAATATGTTTTTTGGCACCCAAAAATCTTGATGCCATTTCAAAATCATTCAGTTTAATACTAACAAGTGCTCCAGTAATAAATTGATCACGATTTTTTGACTGAGGTCTTTGACATACACAATGAAATTTTCCACCAAAATCAATATATAAATCATCATCTACAACATCAAATATTCGTCCTGTTAACAATCGTCCTTTAATACCACCCAACTGAACAAATTCTGAGTTACGAAACAATTTGGCAAATGTTTGTGGTTCAGAACTAGTCGATGATGAATCATGAGAAGACAATGGTGATGAAGATTGTGATGACGACTTTTCTGATGACGATTTTGTAAATGACTCTAGAATATCATTGAACATGTCCATTTTGGTTGTTGTTGGTGACGGTGGTAGAGATACTCGTCTTTTGGAGTACTTCTGATTGTCTAATGTTTGTTCAGATGTTGATCTATTTTTGTTTTTATCAGTCGATTGTTTAATTGTACGAATAGAATTAAATAAACATGTTTTCTTTGCGTACGATGACAATAGAAACGATAAACGATTCGGTAACATATCTAAAACGACAAAAAATATTAAAAAGAAAAAACAATCTCTTTAATAATTTATAACATAGATGAAACAATTGAGTGAAAAAATAGAACCATTAAATAAACAGTTAACTTAATATTCATTTACATCAATATACAATATACCAATTACTCAACCATTAATTCTGATGACATATTCATACGGTATTTTATCACCTAACAGTCTCATTAATGAATATCTCTTTTTTACAATCTAATTAACTCCAACAATACTCCATAATTATCATTTTTCCATTAGCCAGCATGCATATTAGTTATGGTTGACTCATACTAACTGGCTTCGAGCTGCAAGAAAAAAACATTGCCACTATTAATGTTTGATTTGTTTTGGTTGAATATTCAAAAATCATACAACGAAAATGATGATAAGTAGATTGATATTATTCATAATGAGTAATAATACTTAAAGAAGATTTATTACAAACTCAGTAAAAGTAAGGATGGCGATCATCAGATGATGAATGAGAAAATGAATTTAATTGTTTTACATAAATACATTAATATGTCTCATATATCGATCTCGTAATTTAAATTAGGGTCAAGTTTGATGGTACAATTATCGATTATGTCAAAATCACTACATAAATTTTGACTCTCTCAACATGTAGAAAATCGTTTTTAGTAGATTTTTCACATTTTACACGCCATATATTTGAATATTGTCTTATTTAATGAATTAAATGTTAATTAAGTGTCACCAAAGAAAAAAAGGGAAACGTATTCATACTGTATGCTCTACATCTTAACAAGTGGTTAAAGGATAGCATATTATCAAATCTGCTTATTGCCCCATATTTTCTGATAAGAAAAATAAATATTTCAACATCACTACTTTACAATTTACATTAATCAATATCTCATTTTCTTTTTTTTATTTTCATTTATTACACAGCTGTATATTTTATTTGAACCTCAACAAAATTTGAAGAACAACATTCCATTCCACTACGTACTTTGTTTCTATGAGAAAAAAAACCGAAATTAGGAAACGAAAAAGAAAAGAACAAATAAAGAAAACCAACAATTCTCAAATTTAGACTTTGAAAAGATGAAAAAGAAGATACAAAAAAAAATCTAACCATCAATATATTACGTATGAGAATAAATATATCGGTCTTTTTTTATTCAACATCATGGATTGTTTGTTTGCTCTACAAAAAACACGAACAAGCAGGTAAAGAAGCGATATAAGTTGAATAATTAAATAGTACAAGGTATTGTAGAATAATGTTTTTTGATACGCATTTTGTCTTGTCTTTCTTTCTCAGTTTTCTGTTTTTATATAAAACAGAATAGAGAAGAATAACAAAAAAATAATTACAAAAAATTTTGTCAAATGAATAAGCTCAACAATTAGAACGGTTATTATTGTGATGTCACAAGTTTTATTGTATTGTTTTCCTTTATCAAACAAGCATTTCATTTGGTGCATCCAAATCTTCATAGCCAACTAATTGACGATTTGTACTAAAAGAAATAAACAAAATAGAGTAAATAAATATTTTTAGATTTTGAAATATGTCACTGTAAATGTCTTTCACAAAATTGTTAACCTCGGATATTTTTACTCTTTAATAGTTAACTCTTTCTGTACACCGAAATCAAACATGAAGCAAATAAAGATTAAAACAACAAAGAATATATTACAATATCACCAGATTTTTATTGCATAATGATCAATGATAGTTTGATTTAAATACGTACCTAGTCACGGAAATCATGTGTGCGGGTATCACAGACATGTGTCTAATATCAACGTACTAATAATTTCGACTGAGAAAAGAAGTGTGCGTTTTTTTACTTACGGTCGTCGATTCGGCGGACCGCCAGGTGGACCACCACCATAGATAAATGGTCGAGGTTGATAACGTGGAAAATTATGATAATTTGGAGGTGGATGATGTGCAACGGGATGTGGTGCTGATGCCACTACAAAAAGAAAAACATAGATTTTTCGATTACAAAAAAGAAAAAAATGTATTTACTTTGAGACCATATTGGAGGTCGAGACAACAGTGGTTGGGTTGCCAAGGGTGGTGTTGGTAGGGGTAAACCAGAAGGATGAGGTGGAAGCGGTGGGCGTGTCGATGGATGTTCTGGTAGTTGTGGCCGTTTGGGATCGTAAAGATAATTATTGAAAAAAACAACCTAAAACAAAAAATATTCTCTATTGTAAACAAATACTTCTACTTTACTACTACTTTTTTTTAAATTAGTTTCATTATAGAAAAAGTCAAAAGAATAACTACCTCTCGTTTGACATCCTCTATTTTGTCTTGATGTTTATTATAAATATGTTTTTTCACAAACTCTGGTCCTTTAAATTTTTTTCCACTTATTGGACATAACCATTTATCTTTGGCAACTTCTTGACAATTGGCATTAATAAATTTATCAACTTCATCTTGTGCAACTTTAAAGCCCAATTTTTTAGCCAAATCATCATCTAATCGTTCTTTATAATCAATAAATGGTTTCAATTTTGATTCAAATTGTTGCATAAAATTATTTAATTCTGACATTGATACAGTGGATAATTGTGGTCCACGTGCATGGATAATTCCACAACGATTTGGCATCGAATCTTCTTGTTGATATTCGATACCATTATAATAATCAACAGAATGTACAACACGAAGATAAAGTATTAAACGATCCAATACCTAAAATTAGACAAAGTTCTATTTTCGCGTATTTGCACACCATCAAACAACTCACCTTTGTTAATTCTTTATCAATTTCAAATGTAGGTCCATTTGGATTACTATGCGCATGAGAATCAACGCCACCAAGTAACTCTTCTTCTTCAGCGTTTCCTTCTTCGACCAGATATTCGGTAATATTTTTCAACAATGGATTATGACTAACAAATCCAATTGGCTACAAAAAATAAAAAAATAAACATTTCTAAAATTTAATTTTTTAAGAAAAAAAAACTTCTTACCTTTGTTGTTGAAGCGGGCGTCGATGATGATATTTCTGAATCGTCTGATGTTTTTATCTTATCATTCATATTTTCATTATTTTCCCAAATTTTCCAACGTTCATCTAAATTTTTCATTATTTTTGTTGCTAAACGTAAATCATTTCGTACAATTGTTTTGTGCTGTCCAATACCATTTATGATTCTAAAAGAAGAGTTATGATATATCAACGACGCTATACATTAAAGCGAGACACAATTGCATACCGAATACGATTTTTCAGTTCACGATTAACAATGGCGCCCGTATCAATGTCTCGAATCTATATTAGTAAAACACAATTACTATCTTAAACCAACATAAGACAAAATATTTACTTTATTCAAATTTAATTCATAACAAATATTACGTATTTGTACATTTGAATCAAATGTGACCCAACCACGACGTAAAAATTTTCGATCAGGTGCCGGATCTGTTAAACAAACACGACGAAAACCAGTATATTGTTTACATAACTGAAATAGAATCAAATTGCCTTCTAATCATTAATTTCTACATTAGATACAGTTACGCTTACATTTTCAATATCTTCTTTCGTCGTTGATGAAGATAAATTTCTTAAAAATATCGATAATGTTTTGTGTAACGGTCTTGGTGCATCCGGTACTTCACCAGCTTCGGATTCTTCTTCTTTATTGTCGTGACTAGAACTTGCTTTTGGATCAATACTATCTTTTGAGGATGCTTAAAAGATTAAAACTTATTTGTATATGTCAACAAAATATCAATGAAAAAACGATTATTTACTTGCTGATGGTCGATTATCTTTTTTTGATTGTTCACTTTTAACAGATGCTGTTTCATTTACATCATCACTTTCACCATCTGAATAAGCACCGTCTTCTGATCCACTACCTTCACCATCTGAACGATATTGACTTTTTTGACGTTTTTGCTATTATAAAGAGATGACAAAAGTTTTAATGATTACAATGAATATCAAAACAGTAATTTACTTTGGGTGGTTTTGATTCATGTTTGGGTGATTTCATTTCAATTTCATCACCGTCACTTTTACTATTTGTACCATTTGCATTTGTTGGTATTGATGTATGTGCTTCTTCTTTCACTGTCGTACCAGTAGATGGTTGTTGCGATGGTATTACAATCGTAGATGTTGTACTGTCACTTTTGATTAATTTATCATTTCCAACTGAATCAGGTGGTTTTGTTCCCATTCCCATTTCATCAATTTCATCATCATTACCCATATTCGTTATGCTGGATGATTGAACAACATCTAATGATTTTAAATCATGATCCGTTCCACCTTCCATTTTAATTACCGCTTAAAATGAAAAAAATGAAATAATATGCGCGAAATCGTTTATCGTCTGTCAATCATACCAGCATCCAGAAAACGTGTTAGATTATGTTGATTTTCAACATCAATGCTAACATCATCCAGCCAACTTTTACTTAACAATTCCATAAACACATCTAGCCGCCTTTTAATCGCTTGCCGTTGTTCATCTCGACGTTTTGAATATTCATCCGGATGATATTTATGTTTGAACCTAAAAACAGCATATAAATAACATTAACATTCGAGTACAAATAATCAACTGTAATGATGGGCTTTGAGAACCAATGAAAAGTATTCTACTAATTTATGCAAAAAAGCAGGTTTAGATCTACGCCATACAAAGCCTCTGACCAGCTCAAGACATAGATTAATTTCATCTCGATGGACTGGTGAACTATATATAATTTTTGAAAAATAGTTAGTTCATAAATGTCACTCTTTGGTCTAAAGACAGTTAATTTCTTTCAGTTCTCTAAAAGAAATGTTCTACTTACCTCTAATATATGATACGTGTTTAATATTAAATATGCATTGAACTTTCTAAGATAAGATAGGGATTTAGAAATTAGATTCATTCGACAAGAAGACCATGATAAACGTTGTACTCAGATTTTGGACGAGTATAGGTGAAAAAGAACCAAGACCATAATACGCTTAAAAAGAGCGTTTCTATCTTCGTTTGTTTTATCGTTTATCTCCAGTAATCAGTTTAAAACTTAATATATTCACATTTATGAAAAAAAAGTTCACATAGGAGAAGTTAAATGTAATCAATATGCTAAGGTTCAATGTAACACATATATCGTGTGGAAAAAAAAATGCAGAAGTTTAAAAACGTTTAAAATATATAGAGAGAACTTGAAGCGCAATATATAATGTAATTTATTTGTGTTTTACGATGGAATTTGCAGATATATATATGAATAAAACAATATATTCTTGATAAAACTCAGTTTACGTCGTTGAAGATGGTGAAAAAGATTAGAAGAAAGAAAAAGAATTTCATCATTCATAGATCAAAACGGATCAATTGCTAAAGAAATGGTATTGAAATATTGAATACACTTGAGTCAATATAAATCAAATCTGTACACGTACGCTAAGGACTGGAACCAATACCTAAAATTGGCTTGAGAGCACACCACTCACAAGAGAGAAGACTCTTATTGCCCAATTCCAAAGAGCACAATTAACCCTATTTGTTCGTCGATTCTTAGCTTTGTACCATGCCTTAGGAAGATTTAATATAGATTTCTAACATGTTTTTTGTTTGAATATTGATTGAAAAAATTCTTTCGCACTACTTCTCCTCTGGTTTTTGAAGTTAACCTGAAAAAAGATCAATTCTTTATTCCTACCATTCTTCATCCTTATGTGCTTGGAAAAAATCATTGATCTGTTGTTTTTTAAAATCAGTTTTGTAGTCGTTGTATCGTTTTACCGCTTCATCTTGATCAATATTTTCATCCTGATCGTGAAGAAAATTTTTGAAACTTAACATTGGTGGTTGTGTCAGATATTCGAGTGATTCTCTATTTAAATGTCCACCTGGACCGCTATGATGCATTGATGAATAATCATGATGAAACTGAGGATTTCCAAAATACGGTTGAACTCCTTCGTAATGTGAAACATCTGAACCATCCCTAGTTGAAGAAAAAAAAAAAGAGTTTGATTTATTCTTTGTCAAAAGAAATGAGAGATATTTTACCAGTCGCGACGAATACGTTTATTTTGGGGAGGTGGACTCATATCATATCTTCCAGGACTACGACTATATCTCGGGTATTCACGACCACTAGTCGGATATTGATTTGGTTCTCGTCGACGAATGGGATTTGATCGATCTCTGAGAAAAATAAACAGATAATTTTTTAATATACGATAATTCTTTCGTTTAAATGCAAAACAAATGAAAGTAATTTGTTTAAAAAAAACAGATAAAATAGAACTTAAGCTATTTACGTAAACTATGATATAGTTAGTTTTTCTTTACGTACACACCACCACTCGTATGCCCACTAAAAGCAAATCTATTTCGCAATCGGAAGTAATAATAAAATTAACGATATTTTTTTGCTAAAAAGCTATGTTACAAAAAAAAGGACATTAATAGTTATTTTTATTGACAGACCTTTCATTCCAATCATTTCTATTTCGTTCATTACGGCCATAATCTTCTCGTTCACGACGAAATTTGTCACGATTACGTCGATTATCAAAATCATCATCACTATCGCCCATGATTAACGCTTATTGACAAACACACGAAATGAGAGAGCTAAGAGTTTCGAATAGATCTAAAAGTAACGCAGAAATTAGGTAGAAGAAGCATTTTCAGAATATCACAATTCGGTGGTAAACAACTTCATTCGATCACATTCTATTAGAAGATCTTCGCCGGTTTCAAAAACACCGCTTGGTTACCATTAAAACAACAGATGATCATAGAGTTTTAGAAGGTGCACACTTCTATATATTTCTGAAGCCTCACATTTCTATGGTTTCTGAGAAACTAAAAAGTTCGCTCCACATGTATATTTGTGAAATGCTATCTATACAATAAAAAAATTTTTTTTCAATAACCTTCGACTATTTCGAAAAACGCTTTTTGCCATCAGATAGGCGAGATTATTGTGCAACTACACCTGTCATGGGTATGTTGTGTCCACAACACACAACATACCCAGGGGAATAGAAAAAATGGGTGAAACATAAGTCTTTTATGAATTTTCGAAAACATCATGGTCAGTAAAAATGCTATAGCTCCATTAACAACTCTTTCCGCAAGAGCGGCACTTCTCACTTGCAGAAAACCATTCTTAGATGCTGCGCTACAAATCCTGACATTTAAAAGAAAAAAATAAATTGTCTCGCGAGAACTAGAATTTTTTTAATATAAAAATTAAGGTACGCTTTTGCCACAGCAGTTTTGATACTGCATGAGTAAAATCGTTCTACGTAAAAAGCGAGCAAAGATTTAAATTTTATTTAAGTCTTTGAAGCCGTTCGGGTTGCGCTGGTGCTTACTATTTGTATTATTCCCTTGACTTTTATCTAGGGTCTAAGAAGATAGTTGTCTGCGTGTGTCTGTGTGTGCGCAAAATACTGAAGATGGCTGTCAGATATTCTATGGATAAGCCAACCATACGTGAGAAGCATTAGAAATTTATTTTTAACCACGCGAGAGAAAATATTCAAAGATATCTGAAATATCTAGTGATGCAGAGAGAAGAAAAACTAACCAAATGCTTTCTGTAGGCCGAAGATAGATGTCGCGGGATAGCAGTCAACTGTAATAACACCAAGAAAACTCGTCTACGGATAATATAACTTTTCTCTGCGAACGACCTTCGATCACCTTTGAGTCAACGACAACGGTCACGCCTCTCTTCGGTCGGCGTTCGAATTTTTCTCTGATTTCTTGTGCAAGGTTCATAATCTAATGTAAAACCAAAAGGTTTTCTCGAGATCCTGCAAATATCTCCAGAGGTTCAACAATATGTGGATTCAAAACAATGCTCACGCCTCCCTTCGATCAGCGTTCGCAGCCAGTGTAGATGAAAAACGCTGTCAGCTTCTCTGATTCCGCGGAAAAATCGTCTAATGTAATATAAATAATCCTTTTTCATTGGATTTGTACGTTATTCAGGGGAGCGGAGCCAGAGTTGGAACCGGTTGAATTTTTCCTAACCGGACCGAACCGGCCAGTTTAATGTGTAGTTGAAGCGGTAATAAACCGGCCGGTTCAATTCTGGAGTCCAACCGGTAAATACCGGTCGACTCCATGGCAGATTAAAGTTCGGATTTTGTGAAAAACCGATTTTTTGCAGAAAGGTAAGCTTGTGTATTTTCAAAATCTTCCTGTTCTGGTTATTTCAGTATTAACGTGAGGCACGAAGTTCAACCCAATACGAAAAGTTTTTTCTAGTAGTCTCTTTAGTTAGAATGTGTAAATACAGCACAATATCCTTTAATGACTAATTTCTGCTGATGTATGAAACGCAGTAGGAAAAAGAATATAGATTAATCACGTTTTAATGAAGAAATAAAAGTTTTTTCCGGCTAATTTTTCCGGATGGATGTTTTCGAAATGGGAAAGAAACTAATGGCAGAAAATCTTAACCGGTGTTCATCTATATCCGAAATTAGCCAGTGATAGGACAAATGTAAAATGAATTAATAGATCATTTTTGGATCTATTGCCTTTTTTCAATCTCCCTTGGGCGATTCCAGTTGAAATCTCGAACTTTTGTTCAACAGTATTCATATTTCGCTTGTGATTCGCAACCGGCAGCAACCGGTCGATTGAAGTGTAGTTAAACTGTTAAAAAACCGGTGATAACCGGCCGGTTGAAAAGTTCAACCGGACCGGACCGGTAACCGGTCAACCGGCCGGTCCGGTTCCAACTCTGAGCCTTGAGCTGGTTAGAGGCTTAGTATGCCTTAGATCTAAACCTGCTTTTTTGCATGAGCAAGAAATGAGATATTTTATTCTTGATATCTAGATTCTTGCTTTTCGTCACATTCGAACAATATCAGCAAAAGTATAAGCAAAGCACGCATTTTTATGCAATTAATTAGCATTCTATCGAATGGAACATCCAATACATATTCAAGTAAACGTTATAATTAAAAAATTTTAAACCGAACTATCGATCTCTTTTTTAATCTAGGTATCATAAATGGTCCATGCGGAATATGGAATACTTGTTATAATGGACGTGATTTGCAATCGTTGACATTTCAATTTATGTCATCAAATAGCGATTTAGATTTTATTTCTTTTGAAGTTTTAACAGAAAATCAAGAATTTTGTAGGCAATCCATGATACCATTATCGTGTTTACGATCAGGTACAAAGATCTTGATATTCATTTAATTCAAAATTAGTATTATTTTCATTCAGTCTTTATTCAAACTCAGGGTCTTCAATACAGTCTTTTAACAAGCCATATATTTTTACGTACCTTGCAAAGTGTTCAAAGTTTTCTTTTTGCAGATACATTTAAAATTTACTTATGAAAATGTAAGACTATCCACCACCTCGATGAGTCCGAACTGAAAAATTGACTTTCGCTGTTAGCTACAACAATAAACGAGCGTTGTCGCTACCCAGGTGAAACACGTCTTGTAAGACCTTGCAAGATCTGATGTTTTCTTGTGAAATCTTGTAATAAGGTCTTACGATATGATCATACAAGACCTTATTATAAGATAATATGAGATCTTTTGGAATCTTGTAACTTCTTGTTATAAGATCCCTCAAGATCTGGTTATGAGAAGTGACAAGGTTTTGTAAGACCTTATGACAAGAATTCATATGATCTTGTAAGATTTTACAAAATCTTGTACCAGACATTGTTGACTTTTATATATTTTTTTGTCACAAGACTATATAAGATCTTACAAGATCATATGAATTCTTGTCATAAGAGCTTACA